TTAAAATTAACTTTTACAATAATTTAATGAAGAGAGATAATTGTATTAAATTGTCATAGATAATAAATAAAATTATATTTTATGATGTGCGTTTAAAAAAAAAGATAACCAAATTACTTTAGATGTAAAAAATTGATCGAGTGCTTCTTGGATAAGTGAAATCCAAAAAAAAACCAACAGAAATTGTTCTATATTTGCAAAATTTAAAAATTGACCTAATCGTTTATTAAGTAGTTTCTTATATAATAAAAAACAGAAGTCGATTAATCGTAAGTTATTTTTTTTGTAATTGTCGACGTTTTACTCGGCGGGTGCGTTATCTACGTTAAAGCCTGGACCACAATACGCGTCTGTGCGCGATTATAGAATAATATTTAAATAATTATATACTTATACGAGACGCATATATGTCTATGCATGTGTTATCAATATACTTTTTTAATGCATAATTTAAATTTACGTTTATTCGAAAAAATTCTCATTCATTTCAAACAAGTATTCACATTAGTATCTATTTAGACGTATCTTAATACTTACGCGTACACACTCGCATCAGGTGTTAAAATTGTTTTAAACAAACACAATATTATTCTTTTAAAAATATAATATTATTTAAAATTGTTAAGAAATATCAATAAAACAAAGTATTACAGTGTTGGTTTCGATCTAAAGGGATTGATTCTTCTTCGTTCCTATTGATTTTTAATTTGGTTTTCATATTTTTTGTTTTTCCAAAAGCGATATTAATTGTATTCCTCGTTTCTATTGAATTGATTCTACACAATTGTTATTTTTCAATTATATTCTATCGATTCTTTATCGTTTAAGTATTTGTTCTATCAACAATAATTAATTTGTTCGTTTATGTATTAAACCAAATTATACATCAATGAAAAATCGAAGAAAAATAATATCCCTATTAATTCCTATATTACACTAACAACAACATATTCACAACACGTATAACACATTTTTCCAATCTTTATAATTATTTAAAAAAAAAAAAAAAAAGAAAAGAAACAGCTCGAAACCAACATCATCGTTATTTTCAACTTATGCATGCACACAAAATCATATCTCACCCTCTGACAAATAATTTGCGATCAATTGATCATAAAATGTTTAACAATCTACTAACAATGATGATAAACTTTGAAAAAAAAAAAATAAAAAGAAATAAAAAAAAAAAATATATATATAAAAACAATAAGCGTTCTTATATAACGAATCTAACGATATTCGTAATAATAATCATGGTGCTATCGAACTCCTATTTGGTATAAAAATAAATAAACTCTCTATTCTAATAATACAATATGCAAAAATCGATTGCTAAAACATTTTTTATATATGTATATTCTCTCTCTTATATAATCTAAAATTGGAATATGATTATTTTCATCATTTCGAATGGAAAAAAAGAGAAAGATATTTTATTTTATTTTTTCTTCTTCTTATTATTATTATTCTTTTTCTCTTTGTGCGTGAACCATTCGAAAAAGTATTGAATTTAATATTTTATTATACATTTATCTCTCTCTCTCTCTCTCTCTCTCTCTCTCTCTCTCTCTCTCTCTTGAGTCTTTCGAATGCTTAGAAAAATGTTTTCTATACAAAAATCAGAAATAAATATTATCTTTTGCGTATTTTAATATGTTTTCTCTACATATGTCCACTGTTTGCATATATATATATATATTTGTATGCGTCTACATATGTGTATGTTACGTATATGCGTGTATATAAATGTTATTTCTCTAACAAGTATAATAAATCCAAATGTATATCTAAACATTTGTCACCACACGAGAATATCGCAATCACACATGTGCATACATACATACATACATACATACATACATAAAATTATGCCAATAATATTCGTTTATTCGCGATGCACAATTCGATTCAATCACACATACTCACAATTATTATTTTATATATATATATATTCGTTTATCATTTTATTTTATTATTATTATTATACTTTAAATATTAAATATTCCATTTTGTTTCGTTGATAGAGAGATAACACGAAAGAGATAATCTACTTAGATTATAATATTTTCAAAAGAAAAATAATCATTTATTTCTATATATTTTTGTTGTTGTTGTATCGTTAATTAGGATATATTATCTCATTCGTAATTCATACGAATTTTTCTTTCATTTACCGAAATAACATTTAAACATTTTTTTAAATAGAAATAGAACAAACATTTTCACGTATCGCAGGGTAATTATTTATATATACAGGGTGTTATTTAAAATTAGTTATTCTAATAACTCGATCGTTGCTGATATTGGTGATAGAAATAAAACGGTGGTCAAATTATTTCGAGGTTTGATATAATCCCATGTTAATATTTTTTTTTTTTACTGTTAATTAAAGCGACTTAAAAAACGTTTCCAATGAGTTTCTATATTGTTATTCCCTAAATTTAAAAAAATAAAAATAAAAAATACAAAAGTAAGCATATAAGTTAAATGGAATTATCACGAAATTCTAATCGAGTTATCTTCGACACGCGTGATTTTTTTTCTCTATTACTAATAGTAATCGAGTTATTGAGGGTAACCTGTTTTAAATGACTCATCCGGTATATTATTTATATACACAAAGCTTCATAATAATTATTATTAAATTTATATATATATATATTTAAGAGTAAATATATAGATATTCGTACAAATGATAAAATATATGGACCCGTTGTCGAACCACTGCGTAGATCGTAATATAAAAATGAATGTAGAAAAAATAAAAAAAAAAATGAGAAAAAAAAACAAAATAAAATTAAAAACATGCTTTTATCGTTGGATTATCGTGCAAATTTGTACAAAGAGATAGATGAGTATAATAATACTGGTATAATAATGCTCCATTACGTACGCATTTAATAACACGAGCATAAGAGGAAACTATGCTTTTAACCGGACGCCTACCGATCGAGTCTATATATTATATACACATATACACACACACATATATATATACATATATATTCAGATGTATGTACGTATGTATTTGTATGTATTTAAATTTGTACGTATTGTTGCATGCACGCGTATATCATGTATTTGTACGTATTCTTGTATGTATATATATGTATGTGTATGTTGAGCGTATCCGTATGTATGTATATATGTATGTGTCATTTGTGAATATTATTACCAAGCTTGTCTCTCCTATTTCTTGTCTAAAACATGACACAGTGCATAAATACATCTTGCATGTGTGCCCCGTTTATATATGTGCATGTATTTATTTATTTATGCATATATGTATCAATGTATGTATGGTATATATAATTTGTATCTTCCGCTGAAAGCATTAATATAAATTTTAATTGACGTTGATTTTTCGGCATAACGAGTTCGTGCAGAGGACCGACTATTAAAGGCTTTAGATATACGGAAAATTTATATACAGTGTTTGCTAGATTGAATATCCTTGCCAAAATGAAACCTCGAGTGTACATATGTTCCATGTATTCGTGTGTTACGCGAGTTGGTATGAGAAAGTGCATGAGAATTATCTCACAATTTTATTTAGATATAGAAATTAATTGTTTAAAACAAATATATTATTACGAATTTAATATTGCGTTTTACGAGAAGGGAAAAAAAAAAAGAAAATAACAAAACAAATAGGAATACGCGTGGCACGTGGATCATTTTTTGTAATTTTTTGAAAATACGAATGAATCCTCTACTACGTTTGATAAAAAGAAAGAATAAATTGAAATTCAAAATTAACTCGTTTTACGTGTTATTTTCGGTTTATAATTTAGATTTGTTCGTGTGAGAGAAAACAAAAAAAACTGAAATAAAATTGAATAAACTTTATTATATTTTTCGATGTTTTAAAAATACGAGAAACTATAATTCTCGTTTGATAAGAAATATAAATTTAAGCTTGATGTGCTTTATATTATGTCATTTCAAATTAGCCCATGTGAAAATAAAAATAGAAAAGAATATAATTAGAAAAAAAAAAAAGAAACATAAATGTATACATTAAGATATTTTTACTTTTCTAAAAATACGAAAACAAATTCTTGCTTGATAAAAAGTATAACATGTAAATAAATTATATCTCTTAGATTTGAACGTCAGATTTGTTCGTGCGTGAACAAAATAAAATATACATATATGCAAATGGAACGCATAGAGATGCACATAAATATTTTTGTTAATTTTCTATTAAACGGAAATGAATTACTCGTAAAGTAAAAATAATCTTACTTTAAAAAACATTTTAATCTTAATTAAATCGTACATGCGAGATAATAATAGAAAAAATATGTATAGCTTTTTATCAAAAATAAACCCGAATTATCTCTCCTCTAGAAAAAAAAAAAAAAAAAAAAAAAAAAAAAAAAAAATAAGTATATAAAAAAAATCTCTGTCTCGTGATATATAAAAATAAATATAATATAAATATATGTAATATATCGTGTGTTTAAGTTGATATTTCCGATTCGTAGAAACATACGTTTCTCGTCTAAAAATATATATCTACAAACGTGCATAAATATTATTTTTCGATCTTTTTCTTTTTTTTTTTTTTTCAAAATTACAAATACAAATAAATCTATATTCGATGACAAATATCAATTTGAAATACATACACTCACTTTTATACCACTTTGGCTAAAAGCTCAATGTTTTGCATGCTAGCAGAAAAATAAAAAACAAAATAAAAAAAACAAAGAGAGAAATAAAGAGAGAGAGAGAGAGAGAGAGAGAAAGAAACACACACATATATACACATATACACGTACGATTCATGCCAAAATTAAATCAGGAATACACATACTCTATCTGACTGCTAAATAAATTATTTAAATACAAGTAGAAATTAAAGAATTATATATCACTTGTGTTAAAATAAAAAAAAAAAAAATATAGAAAAATAAAAGTACGTTAATTGGTTGACATTTTTTCTTTCTTTCTTTCTTTCTTTTTTTCTCTCTCTCTCTTTCTCTCTTTCACTATTTTTGCAAAACTTTAAAATAAATCGTGCACACGTATGAACTTAAAAAAACGTTTTCTCACTTACTTACGATCTTTGTTTGTTGAAAACAAATGAAAAATAAAATAAAAGGAAAAAAAAACAAATTTCGCGTGAAACGATTATTTCAGACTATACATCGACGTCATAACGATAACTATGACAACGAGAAAAAAACGATCGATGGTTGGTTGTGTCCGGTGTCGTTAAAGAAAAATACTAATATGAATTTATTTTGTTTAAAAAAAATGTTAAACACTTTAATACTAATTGATTCCAATCAAAAAAAATCAAATTTGATGAAAATTCTAATACTCGATTGAAATTTATATTAGGAAATCAATCAAAATTACTTTCAATAAATATAAATTATAGAAATTATTTCGAGATGCAAAGTTGCCTTGATCAAATTATTAAAAAAAAACCATAAAAATAAATGAGATAAAATATTCCTCAGATATTGAATCTTTCGATCGGGAATTTTCTTGCGTTTTTTTTCTTCTTCTTCTTTCTTCTTATTATTGTTGCATTATCATCCACAGTTTAGTAATTTCTCTTTCATATGTTTGTTTGCTTCTGTATTGGTCCATCGTACACGTTACGTGATTTTTAATAATACCACACGTGGTTTTTATTTTGCGAATGAATAAAATAAGGAACATTCGTTACGATCGTATTAATAAACGATTTTGTTGTTGTTGTTGTTTTTGGTTTGTCTGTTCTTTCATTTATTTTTTGTATTTTATTATATTTTTTTCTTTCTCTCTCTCCCCCCCCCACGAATGAGATTCATTCTCCAACAATTATTCTCTCTTTTTTTTTTTATATATATATATACAATGAACAAATAATACGTGGGAGAAAACGTTTGACTAGATTATCGATCCGTTTTCAACTTTAAACTTTTCTTTTTCCCTTTTTTTTTTTTTTTCGTAATTTTTTTTCTCTTCCTAATTCCTCCAACCCCCCCCCCACCCCACCCCACGCCCCGTCAAATACGTCGACGAATTTTTCGTCGAATTGACATATTTCACATTAACAATCCTTTTATTTTGTCTGTTCACTTTTACAGTCGTCAAACACAATTCCCGTTGTTGAATTTTTTCGTTCGTTCGTTCCGACAGTCCGATTAAAAACGAGCCTTTACTACTTAATTATAAATAATTAATTTTTTTCGGAGTATATATTTCACAGTATCATTCTCTTATTGTATAATTTCATTACTTATTCCAAAAGTATTTTCGTATGCGATAAAATACACGATTCGTGTTCTTCATAAATAATCTTTTATAAATCATTAATAATAATAATAATAATAATAATTAATCCTTGATAATACATTCGATCGAAATCAATTAACGCGAATATTTGATTTCTTTTTTTTGTTAACTTTGCAATCCATTCATTTTTACGGTAAACATCCGGAATTTTGGCTTATTCATTTCATTAATTAATATACCTTGGATTTTGAGCGGTTTTTAAAATTATTACTCGCGTAATTTTTTGCTTTCTCGTTGATTTTGTTTCCCACGGCTCGTTCCCATCCCTTGTTGGTTCCGCGTTACGATCGATCGTAGAAAAAAAAAAAAGGAAAAAGAAAGAAAAAAAATACCAAACTCCTTCTCCTTCCCCCTCCTCCTCCTCCTCATCCTCCTCCTCCCCGAGTCAATTTATTATTTTCTATCCATTTCTTTAGTTCCTTCATAATTCAATGATATCAGGCGCGCGAAATTGTACTTTGCTGCTATATTTCACTTCTTGTACGACCTCATTACCTCGCTCGTTTGAATTCCCTTCTTCATCGTCATCGTCGTTGTCATCATCATCATCATCATCAAGAACAACAACTCCTTGAACTATCTTCAATCTTTTCTTTTCGTTAAAATCTCGATCTTTGTATCTCTTACCCACCATTAACTTGTCACGAGTGTTTCTCGATCTAACCGAACGCCGTGGTTATTTGTATCTGAAAAAGTAATCAAATAAAAATAATCGATCATTAATTTGGAAACAAAAAGTACACATTTGAAGAAATTTGTCCAACACACTAAACAAAGAAAAAAAATAAAACAAAAAAACCTTCCAACAAATTTACGAAAATATTCTCATTTTCATTGCGTATACATTTTTGTATATTTTTTATTTGATAATAAATAACATTTTTGTTTTTGTCTTTTTATTTTACAAAGTTTTAATGCGCCATCGTATAACACCATTTTCGTTACACATTGTTCAAATTTCATTTGAAAAATGTAATATGATATTATTCTCATTAAAAACAATAAAGAGGCGAACAATGAGTTACGTTGATATCATATATATATATATTATAATCTAATACAGGGATTTTCAATGGAACATAATTAATTTCCATCGTAAGATAATCGACGTAAAACTTCTTATGATGTATGAAGAATTTAATTAATAAACAAGAGATATACATTAATTATGCGATAAATTGAAATTTGTCTTTGCGAATAATTTTTCTTTCAAAAACTTTCAAAATTGATGAACACATTTTTATTATACTCTAAAAAAGAAAAATTATATATATATATAATAATAATAATAATAATAATAATTTAATAAATTTTATTAAATACGACGAGAGTTAGTCAAATTGTGAAATAAAAATGATTAATAAATCTCAATTTGTCATGTTGGATTTTCGACGTAAACATGCAAGATTAATGAACAGTTTTTGAAGAAGAAGAAGAAGAAGAAGAAGAAGAAGAAGATGTATACACAAGAAACTATATTACCTAATATAAAGAAAGATAAGTAAAAATGTGAAGAAGATGATGAAGAAAAAGGCAAAAAAAAAAAAAAAAAAAAAAAGAAAAGATAGTGAATTTATTTCTCCCCGATAGGAAGGAAATAAAAATGTAGCTTAAAACGAGCGCGCTCCAACGAAAAGAAACAAAATGACAGTATAGTCAGTCGGTGGTGGTTGGAAGGGGGTTGGGTTTAACGTAAAACTCTGCTCCCTATTTCGTGCATTTATTTTTACGTGTTGGTAGTTGGCCTCCTTTTTCTTTTTTCACTAACATCATTGGCACGGAGATAGCACGTTGCATACCGAAGTCAAATAAAATACAAATAAAATACAAATAAAATAACATTTGTAAACACGAGAAAAAGCTCGATAAGTGAGATAGAAAAGAAAATAAAAGAAAAGGGGAAAAAACTATTCCGATTGCAAGATGAAAAAATCCAAATAAAGGGTAATCTTTGCGAAAAAGGAATTTATAAAAAAAAAAAACAAAAATAGAAAAAATTCTACCAGATCAATTTTGGTTTATCCATCTGACGTTTTTGCCAATTTTCTTTTCGCAGGATTTATCACCATTACCACCCCTACCCCTCTCCCTCCGTTCAGTAAAACCCTTTCTTTCACCCTATCATTTTACTTTTTTCCATTCTCTTGCGTTCTCTTTTTATCTTACTTTCTTCGATCGTGCGCTTACCCTCGAAACATTATCGAGCGTTCGCAATAACGCAAGGGAAAAACGTCAGAAGAGGAAACGAGAGCATGAGCTAGCTAGCTAACAGCTGGTTGGTAAGAAACACATAACCATTTATTTATCTCACACGCTACGAACTCAATAAGAAGTATACAATTATTTTGGAAAGTAGGATAAGGGAATTGATGAAGAAAGGGGTTGCTTAATATAGTATGATACTAATTGGATACGTCATTTAACGATATATCAAACTTCCATTTTTATTTTATTAATGTTTTCAACACATTGACAAACGATGTAACATATCCACTTGGTATAATACTTATTAGTTGGTTTAGTGTTTCCATATATAGGATGTATAACTCCTTAAGGAATTATTTGAATTATTTCTCAAGAGTAATTAAGAAATTATTTTTATACAGTGTATATTATATACTAATATTAATCTTCTAATTATTATTGAAAATAAATTTGATTAATATCGAATAATTATAAGTAGAGTAATAAAGTAAGAATGATCGATAAATTTAATTTTAATCATAAATCTACAAAGAACACACTGCTAACGAACGTACGATTCATTTTTCGATAGAGAAAAAATATCGATAGAAAATTCCTTGTTGATTTTGATCTTTCCTTCGATCAGGTAAGAGTAGAAAAAAAAAAAAAGAAAAAAAAAAAGGAAAAGAAAAGCTAAACTCATGTTTGACAAATGGCAGATAATCTTTCACGATTCTATTCTGTTCTACTGTCAATACACGTTACCTATACATAATGAAAAGTAAGAAAAGTGTATCGTTGAATCGGTTAAGGGTCGTGAAGGGGTCTTGCAATGGGATGATTCCATATAATGCATTTAAGCATTATTATTATCAACGAGATCCTCGAGACTTTAGTTTACTCTAACCCGAACACGATGCGTTTTCTTTACTTTTCCTTTTCTTTTCTTTTCTTTTCTATTCCATTCTATCTTATTTTTACTAAACAATAAGAGTTGAATCGATCAATCGATCGACGTATCGTTCTTTTCAAAGGTTCTACGCAATAACATCGAATGATTTTTCGCATTGATTCGTTCGTTCGTTCGTCAAATTCGTTATTACAAGTGATGAAATTCGTTTTGATCGGATATTTAATTGAAACCTTTTCCTTTTCATCCCCCTACCCTTTCCTGTTACACGTACGAAACTAGTCCTTACCGATTCGTGAACACAATTCTACTCCATTATTTCCATCAACGGCAAACATTATAGTTGCAACGTAGTGTGTTCTATGAACACTATAACAGATGCAGATCTTTAGATAAGCTAAGGGAACTATAAACGATAAGGTATGATCGTCTCGAGTGCCACTAACATCAATTTATTATATTGAAGCGTCAAATAATCTCAATATGTCAAAGTATAATAATACACATTAATAATATTCTTATCTAAAGGATGCATCATCAATCCATTTAAGTTCCTTGACGAATTAATAAAGTATTAATCCTTTTGAAATATTCACTCCTTAACTTGGAAACTTATTTAAAAAAATTCTATTCTAGATATTATGTGCCATGAAATTTCTCAATCAAGTTTTTAATCTTATTTGAATTTATTGAGAATAAGATTTGACGAGATTGTCTCTCGTTTTGAGAAATCATTACTATCGTTAAAGAAGAAAAAAAAAAAAAAAAGAAATAAAGAAATAACAAACAAAATATCTTTTCAAGACAAACGTTTGTGGTTATGAATCTACGAGATGCATCAAATTATTTATACAATTGTACACTTTAAATATGCATAAGTATAAATGATATATAAATGTATATAGGAGTGAAGAATGTCAATTAAACTTGTCTGACGATCGATGCGCGAATGCATAAAATGTATAAGGAAAAAGCATAAAAGCGAACGAAGTTCTGATATCGATTAGGTCGAGACAAGCTTTAAGTCCGATCAATTTCCACTTTCAACGGCTTACTTCTTAAAAAAAAAAAAAAAAGATAAAGAAAAAAGAAAGAAAAGGGTTGGAAAGCAAGAAGTACCTATATTTTATCGATTTATGCAACATCTAATATTGTATCTTAATTCGAACCCTTTTTTTATTATTCATTTAGTCAAAAATCAATAAATTATATCTATATGTTTTTTTTATGATTCCTAAAATAATTTTTAATTAATTGTTCACATAATTATTCGTTTGATATTATTCTAATTTCTAAACTTAAGTATTGAAAATGATGTTTCGTTTAAAAAAAACCCACAATGAATCGTATCAAGAGTGAACGAGTTTATTTTATTGTAAAATAATCAATAAACTATCTAATATCGAATCAGAATAATAATAATAATAATAATATTACTATTACGTGGACTTACCTTTCTGGCCAAGGACAGGCGAAAATTCTGCAAAATGCTAGGCCGAGAGAAAGTAAAAAGCTCACTGCTATAACTACATAAACGACGCAAAGGTGGACCAATGAGAATATGTAAAGGGTTCTGTGGCACCATCTGTCAGGATCGTAAAGCAAGGGTGTATATTCTGGCCATTCGATGCTCAGTATCCAATAATTACCTGGAAAACAATAATCCTAACACGTGATGCATGGAAAAACCAATAAACGATGACGATATGATTTTTTGTTTCTTTTTTCTATTTTTTTTTTTTCAAACAATTCAAATGATAAATGAAATAAATCGAGAGAACAAAACGGATCAATCATTTTGCGAATTCACGATGACGACTAATGGTATGTGTGTGAACACAATAAAAAATGTATAAAATATTAGAAAATATCAATTCTGTTTTCAAACACACGTTATGATCATAAATTTAATCGACTCGACTTTCTTTTTTTTTTGGATTCTTTTTCAAATGAATCGTTAATTCTTCCGTTAAAATTATCGTTCTATTAAAGTTTTTCTGTCTTTGAATTAGTTTACCTAAAACAAACCAACCGACGAGGAAGCACGAAAGGGTTATTGAAGCCAACTTCATTGGTGAAACATAAGATCTGGTATTAGGAACTGTAAGAGCTTCCGGTCTTCTAGAACGTATTTGAGAGTAAAGTGACCAAAACATTCTAACGGTTCCCAAAGTACCACCGACCACCATATAAACAGGAATGTGTGGTTCTCTTGGGCAGTCCTTGATGAACTGCAAACCTAAATTGTAAATAAACTTAACCAATACATTTTTACGACATTAATATTATTTTATTATTAACAAACTTTTTTAAAACTTTCAACGTTTGAAAATAAAAAAGCACACAGGTGTGGCATTATTGAAAAAAAAACAAATATTATTTCTTATTAATTACAACGCGTGTTACATTATCGTTGTTTAAAAATTTTGATTTGAATAATTGTCATCTCGTGGAATATATTATACAAATTCTTGTTTAATGTACTCGTTCATCAGTATTATAAGAGATAGGAAAAAAAAGAAAAAAGAAAAAAAGAAAGTAGAAAATATTGGAACGAAATAGTTACATATTTGGGATAACGATAAGGGTTTATCTATTGAAACGTGATTGCAGTTGAGTCATGCATATTCAAACAACTGTTCGCACACGTTATATTATAGTCTATCGATTTTAGGAAATACTGAAATTTCGTATTAATTCTATTGTAAGGTAAAACATCATCTTGGTATTAAATAAGATCAAGAATTTGCGTGCCCGTGCACTTAGTCATGAGATATACGATTAAGAAACTTCACAAATATATAAGGTTCATTCGTAGGTTTCGTATCTTTGGTTGTTTGTAGGCGTGTCACGAGATATCGGATCGCGTGCTTTAAAGCCCCAAGAGAACCAATTAACTTTGCAATGATGCCGGATGTCCTCTATAATTTAATCCTTCGATCCCTATGCTCCCGGAAGATTTCCCGAGTGTCGACTAAAGTCGGATAAACTACCGACGAAAGTTCTTTTTTTTTTTTTTTTTTTTTTTTTTTTTTAAAGTATTTTTACTAGTGGTCGTCGTAATGCAAAAGAAGAAGAAGAAGAAGAAAAAAGAAAAAGCTCTTAAACGTCGGGGGAGTATTATTATAATCGAACGTGACGTTGAATATAATTTAATTGTTTTTTCTTTTTTTTTTTTTTTGTGTGTGTCCTCTCTTCATTTGATTTAATCAAGACACAAGTTTTTCTACTTTACGTAAAATGACTATTGACAGGATCGAGTTTCTTTCAGATTATTTTTCTTTCTTTCTTTTTTTTCTTTTTCCTTCTACTCTTTTCTCCACGATAGAGAAAATATTCACTGCACCATCTCTCTCTCTCTCTCTTTTTTTCGAACGAACGAACGAATCGATGGAGAGATATTTTGCTTTCATGCATACAAAAGGACTCTGCCATTCAATACGAAGGATCACGAAAGCTGTCGCTTAACACGCAAAACGTCGTCGATTTAATGATTAAAGTATTGAACGACGATTGGATGATTTTTAAATAGACTTTTTTTTTTTTCCCCTATGATAGTCTAAATGTCGATGCACGAACGATTACTTTAAACAAGAATTTGATTTAATAAAAAAAACATTGTGGACTAATTTCCAATGGTATCATATTAAAAATTATTTCCAATTATCAATGTCAATCAAACTTAAATCATTATATTCTACAAATGAAACAAAATTTAAAAACAATTGTTACTTCTTTATAGGAACGATCAAAATTCCGATTAATTCGCGTAAACATTATTTGAATGAAAACAAATAAACTAGAAGAATAAGGCAAGGAAGTTGTTTAAATCAAACTGTAAAGCAAGCATTGGTGATACGTACTGACATATAAAGTTAAACTGACTATAGAAAATTTTTAAAGTCGGATAGTATTATATCTCTTAAAATAAATTTAACAATATATATTCCTAACGATAAAAATCCTTCACTTTTTCTTCTACTTATTTTTTTTCTTTATTTTGTTTGAAATATTGCATAAATCTCCTATGAAAAAGAACGTTTATCGAGGAAAACATTTCTGTTTTGTTGAAAGAGAAGGGGTGTTAAGAAAAAAAAAAAAAAGATTGCAAATAACAATAGATTAAAACTTACCTAGAATGAACATGAGAATAGGCATCGTAGAAAGTATTGCAAGACAAATGGTTACTATCATTGTCTTGCTAATGACCCTTAAAGCACGAAGAACAAAGTCGCACGTGCCGTTGGCCTCGAGATGGGCGTCCTTCAGTTGGAAGACCACGGAACCATAAGTCGCCACTCCGAGGTTTGTGGTCTCCGAAGTACCCTTCGCAGGAATTTTGATAATTCCGGCACACAATCGACGTGACTCGTCACCTGAAAACTACAATTAACATCCCATATTTTTCATCGATATTTTCATTAACAAGGAATCCGATAAAACTGAACAAAAATTTAGGATTTGTCTTTATCCAAATCAAAAACGGAAAACTTTCATTTAAATATTCATTATAATCTAATCATAGTCTAATAATCATAAAACCAATACTCAAGCATTGTCTTTTATTCGATTAGAGAATGAATTATTAATTTATATTTTATAATTAAAAAAAAAAAAAAAACAATTCTTTCATCGACAAGAGACTTTTGCTTAATTTTCATCAATCGTATGAAAGGCCGAAGAAATTCTTATTAAACGTTTTTTTTTCTTGGTATTTTCCGCCAACGTTCGAGGAATGACATAAAAATAGAAAAGATGGAATAAAAAAAAAAAGAAAAAGGATAGACGAATTGAAAAAGGATGTAGGAGAGAAAAGCAGTATAAAACAAAGCTCTCTGAGCGCAACCAACCGACCGAGAGTCTTTTTCCCAGGCGAGAAAATGCATTTGGTAAACAGCGTTACCATCTAGCGCTTGTCGTCTAACGAAATTCTTGCCAAGGCATACACAACACAAAGAACTAAACCTGTTTACTACAGCTCGCACATAACGCGCGTTTCTGAATCTAACAGAAAATATGTTGCGAAAAAAATATGATGCACTATCCAACATTCCCATCTCTTTATTTCCATCCTGTTTTCTTTTTTTTTTTTTTTTTTTTCCCCTAAAGCTTAACTTTCGAATTAAAATTATCTCATATTTTTATTTGTCCTCGCTAAAATTACAACACACAATATTTATGAATAATTCATATACGTTAATCTGTGTGCATGTCGCATACGCGATGACACAATCGATTTTTTTTTTTCTTTTCTCTCCCCCTCCACCACAAAAATTTATACAATATTTTGTATATATTATTTTAATATTGTAATATAAATAATAATTATTTTTTTTTTTTTAATGTTAATGAAATATATTTGTAAAAATTAATTCAACGTTTAGTAGTCGATTCGTTAAGATTCTATTTTCCGAATGAGTTTTTCAACTAATTAGAGATATCGTAGTGGAAGATTAGAAATTGATTGGGAACATTTCTGTACGTTCCCAGTAGAAAGGTAAATAATTACATACCTGAGAAACGGAACTACTAGCTCGCCTGGATTCCGTCCAAGAACTTCCACCGTACGCAAGATTAATTTGAGCACCGTTCCCAGTTGATCTTACGCTACTACAATTTGTATCCTTTTGACGATAGGGCGAAGAACTGCGGCTTCTAACAGTACCTGTGACAATCAAATTCATTCGAGACTTGAACTTTAGACATTTATAATTATTAAACATTAAATCAAACATATCTTCACTAAAAATGAATTCTCAAATATTACATTTTTTTTTTTTTTAAATAATTCTAACAAATTGTTCAAAATCTTAGCACGGTTAAGAAACGGTCAGTGCATGTTGAAAGAACATTCAAATAGAATTCTAATTGCACGACTCGTCATTATTCATTTTGTGATATAAAAAAACTAATAAAGTGCTGGACTCGTTATTGAAACGCAAAGGGGTTAAAAAGAGTTATGATTTTGTTTTGATTATCGAATGCACAGAACAATAAGAAATTAGTTATTTTTTGTTAAACAACGACAAAATAGTTAATTCTATCCAACAAACAATTATTTTACTAATTACTCTAACAAGGAGACCTTATAGATGTATCCTCACGAATTATTCGACGAAGGTAGCCATTCGTAAGGTTTCCTTGTAAGTAAGTATATAAGATAACTAATTCACCTTGATCAGCGGAAGCTCTTCTAGGATCCTGCAACATTAAATTGCTTTTGGTAGTTCTTCTATCGAGTCCACCACCAAGACTACCCCTAGGACTTCTATCAATACCCTCAGGAGCAATACTACCCCTGGGACTTCTGTTTTCCTCGTCGTTGCCGATTACGATATTTCTTGAGAAATGCCTTTCCAAATCGTTAACAACGATACTACCACGAGGAGATCTATTGGTTTGTTCGTGTGTTACTATAGATCCTCGTGGACTCCGATTACTCTCGGGACAAATAGATCCTCTAGGTGAACGATTTGAATCCGGTGCTATGGAACCCCTTGGAGACCTATTAGGATCAGGTGCTATCGAACCACGCGGACTCTGATTCGCGCATTCGGAGCTTAACGAACCACGCGGACTTCTATCGATTTCTAAAGGTGTCGTGGAACCACCTCCTCTTCCAGTTCTAACCATTTCTGGACAAATCGAGCCACGTGGGCTACGGTCAAATTCTAAATTGGCAACGCTTCCTCTTGGACTTCTGTTTGTATCAGGTACCAAGGAATGTCTCGGACTACGATTTAAATGACCAGTCCCAGTCCCATTTTCTGCCATCAATGATGTCCTCGAACTACCCAATGGTACCAGACTATTACGCGGACTGCGATTATAGGCCACGTCGGGTACCAACGAGTGTCTTGGACTATGTGGTGTATCTGGAGTCAAACTATTCCTCGCCGATCTAGTTATTTCTGGTACTAAACTGTTACGCGGACTTCGGCCAACATCCGGTATCAATGAACCACGAGGACTTCTGCAATAATCCTCCGGTATCAAAGAATTACGCGGACTTCGTCCTATATCTGTTGGTGTTAAATTATTACGAGATCCACCGTAATCCAAATCTGGTAAAATCCGTCGGCCACTTCCCTAAAAATTGTACAAAAGAAATATAATATAATCTTAAGATTGTGTTCTAATATTTTTTCTCATATTATATTTCAATAAAATTATTTCCTATTTTTATTTAAAGGATCTATCCCGAGTTAAATTTATTTTATTTGTATGTTACTTCAATTATATTTGTCGTTAATAAGAAAAAAAAATCTTTTCTTTTATTTTATTTTCTTTTTTATGTTTTACGATAATATGAACTTCGTTCGTGTTATTGAACGAAACGGGAATGTTCTGTTGGCAATGTTATTGTACCGTGAGAAAACCCTCAAGAATAAAAGTTTTTCTTAGAACAAGCTGTGTAGGGTAGTATATTTCGAAAGAAACTTCGAAAATAGGGGAAAACAATTTTTCTTTGGAAATCAGGTCTCGGAAGGCATGCATGCACGTCTTATAAAAGTGAAATATAAGTATAAAAGGGGGTGGGTGAGTAATATAACACAACCTCTTCTGGTAAATCATTTTGAACGTCGAGGGCTATATTTGGTACGACGCTTCCTCTTGGTGATTTCTGCCTTTCCATAGTTCCGCAGGGACTGATTTGAGTCAAAAGATCTGGCTTTTCGGTAGCTACGCTTGCACGTCGTCCTCTGTTAGGAATTGTTGTTGATGCACCAGCAGGATGACTCGAATTTGCTATGCTTCGTGACGCCCTACGGCGTCGCGACGACGCGCTTCGGTGTAACATCACGTACACATTGTCTCAATTCTAAAACTTTAACAATAATTTTGTTTGTTTGTTCATTTTTTTTTTTCACCCACATCAAAATTCATCCACTCGTATCGAGATTATTTTTATTACATTTACATTATTATATATTGTATTTTTTAAATATCTTGCAAGATGTTTCTTTTTTTTTTTTTTTGATCAATATTAATTCAATTGATATAACAATGTTGATATGTTATATCTATGAATTAGAAGTTTGTTGTTAATTAATTAAATTTTTTTAATCAAATTACAAAAGTCGTTCTACTATATTCATTTAAAACAATTTTTAGTTTTATATATATATTCCTTACAAATAAAAGTTTACATACAAAAAGAAAAAAAGAAAAAAGAACCTTAGAAAACTTTCAACACTTATAAAGTACTTAAAATTTGTTTTATTCGCTCAATAAACTTCTTTAATTATACCACAAGCAAACCACTTCAATCTTACAATCGTAATACAGCTTCTTCTAACTTACTAATTATGACAAGAAAAGAAATAAACTTTTTTCCCTGATATATTAACCGTAATAATAATGACGTCCACGAAAAATAATTAATTCAATATCCTCGAAGTAAAATAATGTAACGTTATACATTATCCCCTTAGAAAAAAAAGAAAGGGAGTTAAAAAAATAACATGAAAAATTTAAAACAAATAGAATAGAAAATTGATAGAACACAATATTTTAAATCCGAATAATATTAAATCATAAAAAGAAATATACATATATATATATATATGAAAAATATTTTAGAGATTAAACAAAATACGAACAATAAATTTTGTTACCCCAACAAACCAATATTAAATTTTATATTATTACAAAATGGATAAGGTTCCTATTCTAATCTCATTATAATGATAACATTCAAACTATTTAGGGTTGATATGATTGGTGGTAGGTGGTAGGAATATTGGAATGGGAATAGGAATGGGGATTGAGAATGGGACTTTACATGTGGGAGCAGGGATAACGATATCCTTGTACAAAGCATTCTTGTATGACATATTGCTGGGTTTAGGAGATAAGCCCTTGGTAACATATCTCTCTCACGTTGTAAACCCTTCTCTACATGTAACTTCAAGAGATATACTACGCACTCTGTGTTTTGACATTCGCTTTCCAACACTTTTTCCATGGGACTTATTATTCTATAGTGTCGACGCACCATTGCACGTAGAAATAATCTTATAGTAACCTGGAAGGTTAGAAATGAGACAACCGTCATAAGTCTCGTACCTTCATCTTACAATTTATTGCTTCAACCTGCTAACCAATTTTTATTCAACCTTTTTTAATATATATATATATATATCTTTTTTTTTATTTTTTTTTATTTGACGTTTATCATTTTTACGTATCAATCACAGAAATTTTATTTTGTATTTTTGTAAAAAAAGAAAAGAAAAAAGAAAAGGAATGAAAATTATAACATTATTTTGCACTATTTACTCTAATACCCAGTACGATTATTTAAAATAATACCCAATTGAACCGTAACGTAAATATCGAATTCATTTGTTATATTTCATTTTGTACGATCATTAAAATTATCGTTTGTAAATGAAATCCTTCGCGTTTAAATAAATAAATAAATTAAAGACAACGGTGGTGTGTGTGTGTAAATCGTAGAAAGTTTTTTATTTTTATTACGATTCGATTCGTTCGCGAATAAAAAAAATGTGTGCGAGAGAACGAGGGAGAGACGAGAAGAAAATATTGATAAAAAAAAAAAAAAAATAGGTTGGAGATTATTTATTTGATATTATTATTTTTTTTGTTTTTTTTTTTATATGGGAACATTTAAACCAACCACCACCACGATTTTCCTCACATATCGTTGGATTTCAATCGAACCGTCGTAAAACAATATGATTAAAAGTAAAATGTGGTGGTGGTTGCATCGGGGATGAACACATTGACTGTCTCTCACCGACCAAACAAAAACTCCGGTGGGCGTTTATCGAACGACCAAAATATTCTCTGCGGTTTTACGGACAAAGATTCCATTAACCCGAGTACGGATCAATGACCGGATTTTTCTACCTTTCTTTTCATAACATTTTCTATCATCTTTTTATTACTTTCTTTCTTTCTTTCTTTAAACATTCCCATTTTTATCATCCTTTTCGTATGAATTACTGAAATCCATTTGTTTCTAAACCACCTACTTTACCCTACAACCCTCTACAGTTATACGAGCTTTCTAACTTAAAAAAAAAAAAAAACAAGACAAAAAGGGAAAGAATATATATATATATAAAAAAGGAAGGTAATAAAATAGGTGAAGTCAAAGAAAAGAAGAAACGGGGGAAGAAAAAAGGAAACAGGAGCGAGTTTAATGAGGAAAAATAATAGAAAAAGCGAAAAAAAAAAAAGCAACAAACCAATTTGAAGGAAATTCTTTATTTAAAACCCCCCTTGTATATTATTGTTTCTCTTTAAAATTCAATCACCCTCTGTGAAATTGTCATGGCCGAAATGAAAGCTTTTTTTATTTTTCTAATTATGTTTTTTGAAAGTTACTTTTTTTGTTTTTGTTTTTTTTTTATAAATATATTAAATTAATCGGAAGAAATATTACTTTGGATAACTCGTTGAGATTTAAATATTCAGTTACGTAGGAGGCACGCGTAAGAAATTAAATTTTTTTCTTTAATCCACTGTGTACATTTGTTATAAAAATTTCGAAAAATTTAGAACATATTTTCTGTAAAGTAAAGGTTTTTCTTCGTAAAACTTAATAATATCGTAATATTTTATTATTATACGAGTACACACGAGAGATAAAGAATTTTCTTTCGAGTTAAACCGTTCCCGGACAAAATTTTTAATACTTTTAAAAAAAGAACCGTAAAACTTTGCGAGTTGTACAAAAATTGTACAAGTAATTTGAGTTTATAGAAAACAAAAAAAAAAAAAAAAACGAAATGTAGGATACAATGAAATAAAAACATTTTGAAAATTAGAGAAAGTAATATTTGATTGCGTGTGTGTGTGTGTGTGTATAAAACACGAAATTATATTTGTCCACCATGCATGGCACCACCTTAAGTGCAATTGTTTTCATGCAATTTCGTGAGAGCATGAAAATTATCAAAGATATATCAAGCGATAAATCCGATGTCATAGTTAAGTTTTCGTGATGATGATGTACATTGTACCTAACCATATACACATGCGGAACAAATGTTTCACATTCAACCATACTGCAAGATATACATCTCCTAACGTATGATTAATTTCTTAAACGAAAGAAGTCGGTGACCTGCATTTACCTATAAATACGATCTAGCTTTATAAGTGCATAACCTTGCAATCTAGTGGAAGAAGCTGGAAAACCAAAAGCATCTTTATAAACGAGAAGGGTTAAGAAATTGCAAGAACCTTTTAGTATAATTTATCTTTCATATCGTCAACCTTATCACATATTTATTCGACAAAAATAAAAGAAAAAAAAAGATCAAAAATTAATTATCAATATTTTTCATAGTTTCAATATATATATATATATATATATATGTATGTATATATATTTATGCAAATATATATAAGTGAGTGGGTTGAAAAATATTAAATTTAACATAGTCAAAATCATTTTTTGTCTATCAATATCACTTTAATTAACAAAAAAAAAAAAAAAAGGAAAAAGAAATAAAACCTGCTGTGTTTTGATTGAAGCTCAAATTTTTCCAATCCACCCCCTGGTATGCATTCTCTCGTATTAAAATCGTACGCTTCATATTTTTAATTAAAAAAAAATTACGTATTTTTTTTTCTTTTTTTTTTTTTTTTTTTTTTTTTTTCTATTATGATTAATGTATGTAGTTTTGCATTTTCTTTTTCTTTTTTTTAATCTCTCTCAGTGCATCACGAATAATGAAATAAAACAATACGAAGAAATTTTTATCTTAATGCAAATGTAAGATCACTTGCTAAAGGGAATTGTGTGTGTCGGGCAAGAAAAAAAGCTAAAAAAAATAATAACAACGTGTTTTTTTTTCTTTTTTAATTTTGCGTTTCGATAAAAATAAAGCGACGTGTTTCAAAGGTTATCAATTAAAATGATTTTATCTTTTTGCCGAGAAGCAAACAAGGCAAAACGTTAAATTTACCAAAGGATTGCGTGCGTGCTCGGGATTTTTCATTTGTGCACGCAACAATCATCATCGTCACTTATTACATATCGTATAACATTAACTCGATTCGTTTTAACGATACATATCGTTTTTTTTATTTTTATTTTTTCTTCATAAAAAAAAAAAACCGAAAAGGATTAAAGCAAATTAAAAAAAAAAAAAAGAAAAGCAAATAAAATCCAAATAATTCCTCTGTTTCCCCATGTATTTTAAAAATCAAATAATAATCAAAGTAACAATATAACGGTTCGACGTTAGTTTTAATCATACCTCATCGTAATCGATATCATAGTTGAACCTGGTAATACCATTGTTTCTTTTCAAAACAATTTTAAATAGATGCAAAAACACATACATGCAATTAAATAAAATTATTAGTGAATAAGATGCGATTAACGATTATGGTTATTCGATAATTATCACAGTGAATGTTCTTAAAATGGTAAGAACGGTATTAACAACTATCCGTTTAAAACACGAGTATTCTTATGCGAATGCAGAAATTTAATTGTACATTTAAACGCGGACCCAAAGGTACAATTATATTTCTACATACGTATAAGAAGAAGAGTGGGTACCACGCTAATAATAATAATAATAATAATTATTATTATTATTATTATTATACGAAAAATAATTGATTACAAGGAAAATAGTTAAAGATATTTTCTATCTATTTTCCCTCTATCGTATTTTCATTTAACTTCATTCCTGTGTTGTTTATAATACGTTTATTTATAAACTAAATTAACTTTGATTAAAACGAACGATTTAAAAATATGCAACAATCCAATATTCGTTGATTTTCTGCAACAAATGGAAAACCCCTTTTGCTATAATTCAACATTCCGATTTGTGCCATTGTCATGACAAAATATCGATTATTTCTTTCCTAAATAAACGGATATTTTAGATTACTTTTCTTGAATACACAATTCTTAATTAAAAGATTATCGAATACATGAAAACACGAGAAAAAATAAAATAAAACATAACTGTGAAGAGTAAAAAGATACGATCAGTGTTGAAAACACGTAAACGTTTTATTCACGTGACGATAAAATAACTTTAAAACATTATCATAGATAAACATAGAACTTTCTAACGTAGAAACAATCGATGAAGGTGTTTAATATTGCGACGTTAATATACTTGACAATATAATTATTAAAAGAGATACAACACGTAAACAATTCGATCTAATCGCATAATTATTCGATAAAAAGAAAAAAAAAAAACACACAAAAAAAAAATAAATAAATTCAAATAAAACTCGGAATCTCTCACCTCCGAGTAAAAAGATGAACGAAGTTTTGGATTCATGCTGTCTCGGGGGTGAATTATTATATTCGTTCTTTCTTTTTTTCTTTTTCTTTTATCTACCGTGTGTTTACAACGTCACTGGGGCAAACTCTCACTTAAACCTTACGTAGAAATATTTCACTATAAAGAACCGAAATAACGTTCAAGGTCAATATCAATTAGATCGAACGAGATTAAATTCTGATCGAAACAGGGGATGATATTTCGTAACGTGGGAACAATTACGATTTATGTGATTTTTATTTATTTCTTTTATTTTTCTTTCTTTTAGTTTTGTTTGTTTTTTTTTCTTTTTGGTTTCCTACTCTGAATAATCAAATAACTTGGAGAGTTTGTTATTAAAGGAAATAGGCTATTGTTGTTAAAATAATTTCGCGTCACAGAAGTTACCTCGTTCGCGGCTTGAATCCAACTGAACGGTTCGTTCGAAGGAGCGCAAGCATATAACGCGGGGCGTATCACGAAACGTACAGACCCTCCCTCTAGCTCGTTCTCACCCCCGAATCATCTTTATCCATCCTGAGAACATCTACCACATCTACTTCTTACTTTACCTTTCGAGATACTTTCGATTATTCCTCCCCAATATCTCGAAAACATTTTATTCTTACCTATACTCTACCTTACTATCTAACATTTATATATTATTTTATTTTTATTTTTGTGCATTCATTTTTCAATATAAAAAACAAAAATATCACAAATCTTTCTTTTACCCTAATTCTTTTATCGTATTATATTTTTTTATCTAACGATATCTTCTAAGATACTATTTTATTTATTTTTTTTTTTTTTATTTAATAGAAAGGATGTTTCTAAGATTTTATTTTACTTGTACACGAGAGCTCATTCTTATCATATTATGTATATATATATATATATATATATATGTAAAAATATCTTCGATAATACTATCGTATTTTTTGTTTAATTATTTTTTTCTTTTTTTTTTTTTCATATAGAAAGGAATTATTGGAAAATTTATATTATTAAAAAATACGAACGATTAAAATTTGGTATTTTTGGAAATACTTTCGATATATTCAAAGATAATATTTTCTTTTTTTAATAGAAAAGAAATTTCAAACATTTTATTTTATCTACGCATGCTCATACTTATCATATTAGGTTGTCCCATAAGTTCTTTCCACGCCACGCTATGTATAACTTCAAGTCGGTTAGGTTTGTAGACATGCAGGTTTATCTATTGTCCATTTATGGCATCGATTTCAGTCTTCTTACAGCTATTTCAAAGTACATTTCGTTGCTGACAAAGTTTCTGTTCAAATCATTTTCTACGTCGTTTAATACGGATAATCAAAAGAAGCATTTGCGGCATGTTATGTTTCTTTCATATTGCTTTAAATATAATAAATATTTTATATCCAACGATGTGTGTTAAACAATGCTGTTAGGTAATTCGCAAAAAAGATTTCGTTTATTTCAATGGAAAATAAAAATAATTTATAAATATTTCGAATTCAAGATACTTTGAAATAATCGTGAATCTATTAATTGAATTTGATAAATTCAATTAATCAATTATTTTTCGCATTGTTATGAAACGATTAACAGTATCAACCGGTGCCATTATGTTGCCCTAATTTTTTCCCAACAGGATAATCGTTGCACCACTAAACGTGCAGTATCTTTTTAATCGAAATTTCGAAAACTGCATATAATATTGTTCTCTCTTGCACTGCATTGTAATCCTTACTATAATAAAAGATACTAACTCTGATTTTTCATTTCTGATACGATGCAAAAAAAAAAAAGAAAAGTAAACTAATTGATAGATCGAAATACAAAAAAATTCTAAATGACGTACGAAGTATCTGTTGCTAATATGTAAAATGATTTTAAAGTTTGTAATAAGTTTTGATTATCGATAAATGCGATTAACGAAATTTCTGTGCAGACAAGAAAAAAAGAAACAAAATTATTTTACGAACAACCTATAATATTCTATTTTATTGAAATTTTTGTGTTGTTTATCGAAAAATACTTCGTACATAGACCGTCGTTGCAGGATTCATAGTTCAAGCTCTTCTTGTCGCTTGAAAGGGTAGGTAAATATATAAATATGCAGATTTAAAAAAAGAAACAATGATCAATCCAGCAGCAATATCCAAACGATTTTCTCATATATTATACTAAATTAAGAATCCTTTTGCCATTCTATTTATAAACAAATAAAAAATTGATTTTTATTAAATAGCGAGAAGAAGTCTCCTCGTGCGGGGGTAGGGGGAGTCTTTCCTCGACGAAATTCCGATTTTGCGCAGATTCGAGTTCTTTTATCTACTTTACCCTTTATTTCTTTCTTCTTCTTCTTCTTCTTCTTCTTCTGCTTCATCTGGCTTCTTCTTCTTCCATTTAATTGTATTTTTATATTCGGGGAAAAAAGAAAGAACAAATTTCTTTTCAAAGACGAATTCATTGTTAACGGAAATCGATGAAATTCTTTTTTTATCTCGTTCAATTATTTTTACATCATTCTTAAAATTAATAAAAGGTTCTAAATATTTCAATCAAACGCATATTTATTTCTGAAAACATTTTTATGGTTTCGTTTTATGCACGTGAACGAACATTTAAAATTCTTTTTTTGTTAATACGATATTCAATCATTTTAATAATCCGTAATAGCTTCGCGCATATAATCAAAGTATATTATTTATATCATTTTAATATGAATTTGTATTTGCATGGTTAAATCGATATAAATCGTACGATTGAAAATTATTTACAAAAGTATTTTGAGGTTTACTCGATTAAAGATCTTGTTAATAATGAAAACAAAAACGTAATTTATGTATTTCGTTGACACGTGTTTGTACTCGATTAAATTATTATCAAATTATCATCTCATAATCGATAATCAATACGGAAAATAAAATATTTGATTTAAACTGATTACACGTTTGATAGTATTTAACATTGGAAATTCTCGTGTACGTGTGTGGGTGTGCGCGTTTTGATAATATATTCTATTAATTAATGTTTTAATCAAGATAAACTAAAATTATAATAACAATTTTATATACTCTCGAATTGAATAAAAGGATTTTGTTCATTAAATTAACTTGCTAAATGAATTCTCATTTAATATTACGAATATCGTCGCTGTTTAAACGATATCAAGTTCGCTAAAAAGATTAAAAAGAAACGTAAAAATTAAAATAGGCACTCTAGTTATTTATCTATCGCGCGATATTAAAATTTAATTATTTTATTTTAATATTTTCTCTCTATATTTAAAATACTAATTGTGTTATCAGTTAAAAATAAAATTCTATTTTTATTTTTTATTTTCCGTATTAGATTGAGAATGGATAGTAGGACAAGCAACAGCATTAATAAAACACGAGATGATAGTAAACTTAACCTTGAGTTGAGGTCAACGTGCTACTGCATCATTCAAGCGTACGACTCGGTAATGCAAACAGCTATCCTACAGCTTGACTACTCTCTTTCTATTTTTTTAGGATAAAAAAATAAATACTCTTTTTATTGTCTAAAACAATAATCGTAAGAACGAAATGAAATAATTCATTTTAAATAAAATATATTCCTATTTCTTTTTTTTTATATTAATTTGATGTTCATGCATTTTTGTAAATCTATAATTATAACGATTAAATTTATATAAACCTGAGATAATGCATACAGGAAATATTTTCATTTTGATTTTATTTAACAATCTTTGTTTTTATTAATGTATGTTGAGTTATTATAAATTCCTAATTCTATCTTGTATATAATTTATTTTATATACAATGTCCGCGTTCATGTTCACCTATTCTCTAACTAAAAATGTAAATATATGTTTTAATATAAATTGAAATCTAGGTAGATTGATATGTATAAAATAAATTCTCTAATAATAAAATTATTACTACAAATATATTATTTAAATGTCATAAATGTCCAGGCTTCTTAAAGTGTGAATCGCGAGTAACTAAGTTTAAAAGTCACAGAAATTGCAGCAGAATTAAACATTTTTTAGACGTGCGAAAACCGAAAATTAATCCTAAACCAATTTAACAAAACTACGCGTATGATATGTCTGTGAGTTTATTATAGTAAAAGAGAAGAAAGTGTAGAATCTACATTCAGGCTTATAAAAATATTTGTTAGAATAAACGGGATTTGAGAAGCTGTGATATACTAAATACTAAACTAATACTAAACTATTATCTAATTAAAAAATAATACTATGTTTTTACTTATACTTATTTGTTTATACGATTATTAGTTAACTAGATTTTTTATTATTTTATCTTATAATTAATTATGGATAATATCCTCGTTATGTTTTTTAAGAATATTTTTTAAATTATAGTAATGCGTTTTCTAAAATTTAATTTATGATTTATTTATACCTAATACTATTTCTTAATATTAAAATTTTATTCTAATGATGAGATTCAATTCTTAAATATTAAAATTTCATTTTAGTAAGAACTAAGTGCTATCGCAGACTTTGTAAAATTCCTGAAAATATTTCCATACTTGTTTCGATACTTTCAGCATTTATGAGAGTAAGACTTTGTAAATATTGCAAATATTATTTGCATATCGAACCACCATTATCTCTGAAAGAATATTTGAAAAATTTCTAACATACCAATTGTACAGTTTTGTTTCCTGCCATTAGGGATTCTCCTTTCCTCTGCAGCTTACGGAGAAAGTCATCTCGTCTTCTTTTTTCATTCGCTGAACATTAGAGAACCTTGGAATCCTATGGCATATAAATAATTGATTATTTTAATGCTAATAATAAGATTAATATGATGACAAATATAAACATTTCTACCTTATCAGTTTCCATTCCATAGTAGAAACTCTTCTTCGTGCCAGCAGGATATTTTTCTTCAATGTGTTACCGTTGAAGATGTTTGATCATGTTTGTAGATTCATGTAGACTACAGCATTAACTTCTATGTTGGAAAATAACACTGCATCCAATGCAAATATGCTCTTCTTGGAGAGTCTTCTTTCTTGTAGAATTTTCCTGTAACAAAAACCAACAATGTTGTAATATCTAAACAGGATATGCATGCATATTAATTAAAAAATACTCTAACAGGTTCAATTAGTATAAAATACTGTATATATACTTACACGAATGCTTCTGAGCAGAATTTTATCATTTTTTGATTTAAAATTCATTATTGGAAACCTACAATTAACCTCTTCGAACAAGAATAATCTAAATATGCAAATTATATTAAATAATATTAATTACCTTTCTCTTGAGCTTCTTTTTATGATTACTGGTTTTGAAAATATTATATTTATAATATATTTTTCTTTTCTCGATTATTTTAATAAAATTAAACATTATTTCTTAATCACTCTGTAACAAAACTTTTAAGATAAAGCACTGCATTTTGAACTATGCATTTTGAACTATGCAATTTGACCACTAGGTGGCGCTATTATCGATATGCATCGCCATCTGCCTGTCATCGTAGCCATTAAAAAGTGAGAAATGTTTTGTTGGATTTCGAGTTCTTCGATTAATTATTTATTTAATTGCAAAGGTATGTTTATTTAAATTAATTTTAGATATATATGCATGTTTGTAGTAATAAAACTTACAATTAAGATTTCTAACAAATCTAAAATTAATCGAGATGATAAATAAATCTAAAATTGCATCTAACCTAAATAGTGCAATTTTTGTTTTGGTGTTACTGTTTTATCCTTTTTTACTACTTATAAAAGTGACTTATTTTTTAATTTTATTAGTTTAAACAAATATTGTTTCTGTGCAATGTATAATGATATTAATTTTAAGAAATATAATGATTAGTTTCATTAGATATATGTGTTTCATGCACTATTAAGATTCTCACTTTACATTTATTATAATAGTTTAATAGGTTCTTATTAATTATTTTTATTATATTTGTTTAGTCGTATATTATTTGTTATTAATATTCATAATGATCTTATACTTGTATGTTTCTTTTTACAGATTGTGAATATGACCGTAGCATCAAAAGAAAATGATAAAAATATAAAAATTCATAAGCGTACATACTTGCAGAAGAAGTAGATGACATGATGCTGATAACAAATAATAGTAATACTTATTATATATATAATTATAATTCTAACATTTGCAAGATTCCAACAATATTTTAAATATATCATAAAATGCATAAATACTTCTAGGTCAATGGCTTCGCTTCATTGAAACTAGTTCTTGTTCGATCACTAAAGTTAAGCAACGATGAACATGGTTAGTATTTCAATAGATGATTGCTTTCGAATACCATATGCTGTTAACTCCAGTGAGATGATAATAAATACAGAAATACTTACAATTAATCTTTATTTGTTGTAGAGAAGACATCTAAATAAATGAAGGTAAATCCATCTATAAAGTTATGAAGTTATGAAGTATGCAGTATGAAGTGGAACAAGGCTGAAATTTCCATCGAATGAAAGTTCTTGTAAATGAAGGAAAAGCGGAAGAAGAAAAGTATGTTATATTTTCATATTTAAGTAGTTGTTATTAGTAGAAATATTTTACAATGTTCTTATTTACATTGTGTTTTTAGAAAATTGGAAGGAGAATTAATGACTCAAAATAGAAGAAAAGGTATTACAAAATAAGGTACAAAATTTTAAATATAATTGGTTAAAAACAAAAAAATTGTGTTTTATACAAATGTATGCACAACAGAGTTGATCGAATTTTATTTAAAATATCATATAAGGTAACGAAATTATTTATAGTCATCATAGAGATGCGTTAAAATGCATATCTATAGTATGCTATCTTTTTTTGTTTTTTTTTCTTACTTTCTGTGTAATATTTTCTATTTTCCTTGTAAAAAAAGTAATGCGTCTGTATCATGATAAATACGAGGATTATCTTCATCTATTAAAGTTTTTCTATGTAAGACAAGTACTAATATCAGTGTGCACCATCGTTAGCACCGTTGTAACTCATAAATCACCTGACATCCGACATGAAATACAGAGTACTTCCAATTCTTTTACTGACTTTTAAAAAATTATTAAGATGAGTTACATTTAACATATTCAAATTTTGTTTTTTTTTTTTACTATTGTTCAAATGTTACAGACTCACACATACACATCTGTTGGTAATTATGGCAGTACACTAAATTAAAAAGTATAATAAATCAAATGTATGATTTAATCTATTTATATTATAAAATCAATTTTATCAATTTTTTGATTTGTAGTCAATTGACTGTCATTATTACGAGCACACATACAAATGATATATCACATAGAAATACTGCAACACTCATACAATTTTAATCCATTTCAAACAATACTTCAAGAGAATATTCATTAACTAAAAATGAACTTTAACACCTATCAATAGAATTTTCAAATTATAAACGATTCTATCGTTTTTAACGTGTTCTACCATCAAGCAAGGAATTCATCGACACCATATCTGCCACTAACATACACCATAGGACGGAACAGAGAACAGAGCATGGTCTATAGAATTCACGATCAATCCTATTCTTGATCTGTCAATTTTCGTTAAGGCTTGTCAGTCTTTGAACGATTTCAATTAAATGAACCGATGGGAACTAGTTGACCGTCACCGTCGAAATTTGAAAACGAATATGTTAAACGAGTCAAGCTCGTTTATAATCGATAGAAACGTTTGACTCCAAACTGCATACATATATATATGTATATTTATATATGTACATGTAAATAGAATGTTTGTAAGACAGAAGTAGATTGAACTTATCTAAATTGAGTCCTCATAGTGCTAACGCGGTTAGATTAGTCTCTCTTGCATATAGATCTGTCCGTTTGTCCGTCTGTCTGTACTTCTGTCTGTTTCATTCGTCCATCTATCTGTCCATCTGTCTATCCTCTCTCTCTCTATTCACTACTGTTACAGTACGAACTAACGTGTCACTGCATGCACCGTGAAATTAAATGATCTCGATTAACAGAATCGGTTGGAATATCCTCTCATCGTCGATGTTGAACAAAAGTGGATTTTCACGAAAATCTCTTGGGGGAAAATATTCGTTCTCTCTCTTTCCTATCCTATTTTTTTTATCTTTTTTTCTCTTTTTTTTGTTTCAATCCATGCAATTATCTAACGTTCCGGTACTGAACACTATTACTAATCACTACGATTACATTAGAGAATAAGTATGCAAATATTTTTTAATGATGTATATTAATACTTTTTATTAAATTCTTTTAGATATTATCAATGTATATTTTTAAGTTAAATAAAAGTAATATAATTGAATGGGAAGCAAATATGAATATTAGGCCTCCTGTTTATAATTCTTAAGTATTAAAATTCTTATTTTTAAGTAGAAATAATTTAAATGAAAGAAAATTATTATGAATAAGAATGCTTCTTAGTTATTAAAATATTTAAAAAATTTAGATATTTGTATTTGTTTAAAAAGGAACACTTGGTATATTGAATCGTAGAAAAGACTGCTGAAAATGTTACGGAACTTCTAAATCATTACATTTACTACCGTCTACTACTTTAACTTTCCTTTATATATTACGTATATATTACAAATATATAGTGTATGTAATATATATACAATACAAGATTTAAAGTTACTTCCTTCGTGGTCTATTTTACTTTCGATATCAATAAATTCTCTAACAGTATACGCACATGAAGTTCCACTTAAACCAACTTACAATGCTCACGAATCCTAGACATATGTAATATTGTTAAATAGATGATTTATCATTTGATTTCTTGAAATTATGCGCAACTTCAAAACGATTTATGGAACATTCAATTTTTTATTTTCTTAATTTCATATAAGCATTACATATATATATATTACATATAATTTCGATTTAATATTTTATTAAATACAAAAATTAGAAATTCGAAGTGATCACTGATCAGGAACGTTAAAAAAAAATGTACTTTTGTTTAAACAATTCAAAACATTAGTAGTGTATATTAGAGTGTTCGATATATCTTAACAAATTGTTAATTAATCGAAAGAAATGCCTATTGTTGTCTAAAAGATCGGAGTATATGATCGAAGTACCATCCTCTTCAAAATCAAACAATAAACTGCCTCGTTATCCTCTATGAAAGTTATTTTATTCAATGTTGTTTATAATGACTTTCCGAAAGATGCACATGTCTATACCAAAAATAATATTCGTAATTAATAGAATTTCCTTTTAAGAAAAGTCATATAAATAAAATTTAATAAAAAACATTTCATAGAGGACAATGACTCAGTTCAACGCTTGATTTCGAAGAGGATTGTACACAGATCATATATTTCGAGTTTTTAGATAACAATAGATATTTCCTTTGATTAATTAACAATTATTTAAGGTGTATATCAAACTACAGACCAGTGTAATTTGTTTTAAATCAGGAAATTAATACATCGATTGCAATTATCACTATTATAGAAATAAATGAAATTTTCGGATAACAATATTGCAAATGTGTCTGTTGCATGATTATTAATATCAAATGGTGATCATTAAAATTAATTATTCACCTATCTTTTATTATCTTTCATATATTTCAACTATTAAAAGTTTCATCTTTTTAATTTATCTTTTAAAAAAGTATTTCAATAATTTTATTAAAATATAATTATTAATATAAATTCAAATGTTTTCAATTAATTATATGTATATGAATTTGATATATGTGATATAAAATCTATTTATTCCTTCGTATAACAGTTATGCACATTTTATTTTATGATAGTTAATGGATGATTGTAAAGACAGTAATAAAAAATCTTATATTATTTTTCATATATTTCAAGTAGGTATCAAATTTCGTTGGATAAAAGAGCCATCAATCTTCATCCGGTCTGGAGTAATTTAATTAGTTCACGTTTTCCGCGGTATAAATATTCTCGTATGTAGGAACGGGTATATATCTTAGAAGTTCATTGCTTCGGCCATCCTCTAAAATAAATGCATATTCATGATACGCATAAACAAGGGAAGACCAACGGTTGTTATACACTCTCAACCTACGTATTTGTATATGTAAGGTACAAATACATTTGCACACATACACACACTATATATATATGCACATATACGCATAAACAGACGTAAATACATGCACATAGATACTCGAAACTTTTAAGAGATTCATTTCATAGTTAAGTACCGTACAACGTGGTACGTAAATGATTAAGTCGATTATACGAGGAATGCCTGGAATTTCGTAGCAAGGTTTAATTAGATCATCAATGAGTACGATCGTCGATTGGAAAACGATTGCTTCCCGTCGAGGGAAGTGCCTTCACCCAACGGATTATAAACTGTATTCGAGTATATTCTCAAATTGATTTCTTTTTTTTCTTTTATAATTATCCCAATCGAAAATTCAATAAACTTTACCAGAAATATCCTTTCAAAATATAATTACCCCAATATTCATTTATATATATGTATTTAAACTTAAAAAATAGCATTAATCTAAAGAAATATAATATGTGTGTGTAAAGGGATGAGAGATGAGAGATGAATATGGAACATAATTTTTAGTTAAAGTAATAAAAATAAAAATGTCGACACGATGTCATTCAAGTTTTGCATAAAAAAAAAATCCACGAGAGATTACTTTTTTATTTTCATTTGATATTACATGAGTTAAGAATGAATAATATGAGGGATTACAAAGTTGAATATTTGATCACGGTTGAATAAATAAATTTGATAAATTATAATAATACGTATAGTTGTGTATTAATAAAATCGTCGTGATTGTTGAACATTATCGGTGTGGATATCTTTTATAGTAAAATCAAGTTTGCTTTATGGGAGTGGTGTAGTGATGGTGCTGGTGCTGGTGCTGGTTTTAACTAATTAGGTATACAGAAATAGCATCTCGCTTATTGAAATACTGTGAATCAGGCTTTGTGTGACCTCACGTTATTACTGTGACAGAATTAGTTAACAATTCTCTCTCCCTCTCTCTCTTTCTTTCTCTCTCTCTCGTTTTCTGTGCTAATTACTTCATAATTTGTAGTTATAATAAGATTAATTTAGATACGCGATGAAATACGATAGTCGAACCGTTGTAAATTTATTAAATACATGAAATTCTTTTCATATTTTTACATAGATATCGTGGAAAGGTATTAGTATAACTATATATATAGGGTCGAACCCGATAGGTTCGAGCTGACCCGTTACGACTAATTTCGCATGTCGTCCGGTGAAATGTAGAAGCCAGTTTTATTGGCTTTAGACAGGACCGTACGATATCCCTGGTCATTTTTCACCAAAAACCTGCGCAAAATTTCCACTACCTTGCTGCAGTCTAGCGAAACAAGCAATGAGCAGTTACGAACGCTTACAATGCGACAATTTCCTCTCTATGTATGTATGTACATGTACACATGCATTCATGCATGCGTGCATGCATACAAACGTATCTGGAGAGTACATTTCAAAGTTGCATGGTCAGTGAATTTGTAACAATATTATAAACATGTCGAGAAAATGTTCAAGACGATTATATTATTAATAATAATAATAATGATAATGTTAATAACTATTATATTTTATCAAGAATGTTTCGATTAAATAACATGTGTGTGTGTGTATGCGTGTAGAGATCTTGGTAAAGGGGTTGAGAGATGAATATTATAATATTTATGTGTGCGAAGTAAAGAAAATATATTAAAAATGATTTTATTTAAATTTTATTCTACCTGTATCAAGAACAATTTTTCATTTTATATATTAAAATCGGTAATAATGATTTGAAAAATAATGTAATATTATGAGATAATAATATAAGAAATAATTTAAGATCGGAAAATAAAAGGGTCAGTCTCGTTTTAACGTAAACAATTTCTCTCGCCTTTGTTATTCGCAAAATAACGTAGAAAGGGAAAAGACATGGTTATCGTCGACGTCGTAGCTAGCTAATTAACTTACAACTCCGGAGTTTGTAGGGTTCGTAGATAGTAGTTGTTGTACTTGCTTTCATTTTAATTCCGGATGTATATG